CTCAAGACAAAAGTTGTCAGGTATCAGACAAAAAAATTGTCAGGTCTCAGTTCTCAAGAAAAAAGTTGTCAGGTATCAGACAAAAAATTGTCAGGTCTCAGTTCTCAAAGAAAAAAAGTTGTCAGGTATCAGACAAAAAATTGTCAGGTCTCAGTTCTCAAGAAAAAAGTTGTCAGGTATCAGACAAAAAATTGTCAGGTCTCAGTTCTCAAAAAAAATTGTCAGGTATCAGACAAAAAAATTGTCAGGTCTCAGTTCTCAAAAAAAAGTTGTCAGGTTCAGACAAAAAATTGTCGTCTCAGTTCTCAAGAAAAAAGTTGTCAGGTATCAGACAAAAAATTGTCAGGTCTCAGTTCTCAAAAAAAAATTGTCAGGTATCAGACAAAAAATTGTCAGGTCTCAGTTCTCAAAAAAAAAATTGTCAGGTATCAGACAAAAAATTGTCAGGTCTCAGTTCTCAAGAAAAAAAAGTTGTCAGGTCATCAGACAAAAAATTGTCAGGTCTCGGTTCTCAAGAAAAAATTGTCAGGTATCAGACAAAAAATTGTCAGGTCTCAGTTCTCAAGAAAAAAGTTGTCAGGTATCAGACAAAAAATTGTCAGGTCTCAGTTCTCAAAAAAAAATTGTCAGGTATCAGTTCTCAAGAAAAAAATTGTCAGGTATCAGACAAAAAATTGTCAGGTCTCAGTTCTCAAGAAAAAAATTGTCAGGTATTAGACAAAAAATTGTCAGGTCTCAGTTCTCAAAAAAAAAGTTGTCAGGTATCAGACAAAAAATTGTCAGGTCTCAGTTCTCAAAAAAAAAGTTGTCAGGTATCAGACAAAAAATTGTCAGGTCTCAGTTCTCAAAAAAAAAGTTGTCAGGTATCAGAACACAAGGTACCAGAGAGAAAATCTTCCTGCAGGTGGCGTGTTGTCATGTCCCACCCGAATTGATTTCCAAATACGTCATCAACGTGTGACAGTGGGAGAGCGTAAGGTCATTGACCTCACCGGAGTTTTACCGCAGTTCAGGCTCCTAACGACATAAGGTAAGTTTAACTTTTGTTCATATTTTTGCCACAGTTGTGTTATATTAAGTTGCGGTTATGTTGTGAAAGTTACATATCAGAGAAGGAAAGCTAGTTTTGTACGAAACCAAATCAGTACTATTTTTGTCTGGCTAATTCATTCTAGCTAGCGACAGTGGTGAAACGTGATTTTTTTGTTTTTTATTCGGAGATGTTTCTGTTTTATTAGGAGACTGTCTCACCCCAACATCGTCAGACTCATGGCAGTTGCCCGCACTGAGTCCTGCTTTTTGTTGGCAGCTGAATACATTCATGGCGCAACCCTGCAGCAAGTGCTTCACACAGACAGCTGCTACTCTAATAGTCTGTGTTGTTGAAGGATTCAGCACTTCTTATGTTTTTTTTAATCCATTTTTAGACAGCGATGAGATCGGCTACACACTCCACAGAAGCCCAGAGTTACTGTTAATATCAAAAATATAATGCTGTCCTTTGAGATTTTAACATTTAAGACTGTGAGTGTAATGGATCTAAAACTGTTTAAATCTCTACAGCCTGGTAACATGGAGACTTTAAAAACAGCAGCAGAACGTTTCAGTAGTGTAGTCTAATTTGTTCTTTTCATTTAATAATAGAGTCCATATTATATCAACAGCTACATTCACCCTGGAGAGAAACTAGTGAGGGAGACCATCAGGACCAAGCTGGGTTTCCTGGGTCCAGAGGTTTGGAGAAACTTCTTCCCTTTCTTTCATCACAGCTGTCCTGTGCCAGAAGTTCTGTTGACCCACTGAAAGAGGCTTCATTTAAGAAACACCAGGAACACTGAAGCTCATCGCATTGATCAAGCAGGACTCATGATCTTCACCAGCAGCTCCCTCACAGGGAAATCTTCAGCACTCCTCCGTAGGCCCGCCCCAGAGATGGATAAACCCAGCATTTCATGAACACTGTGATGAGACCTTTGGTTTGTGTAATGTTATAAATACTCGGATACTCCCCAGAGGCTCCGGACTTTTACATAAAGATATTATATTCAGTCCTGTAGAAAGTTATATATTTAAAAAGATATGATCCTCTCTGGTTACTCTGGTATGAATAACTCTGAATCACTTTATGGTAAATAACACACTATCTGCAAAAAACTGTGAAAACTGTGACCTTTGACCTTCATCAGGTTTTATTTAATTGTGTTAGAGAAACTCAAACGTGCTCTTTATGCAGCTGAGTACATCAAGTGTTTAAAACGGAAGCTGTGCAGGTCTGAGATACAAACTGAGGTCCTGTTAATGCTGATATATAGTGACACAGTTACATGGGTGATTAATCCTTTTGTTTTTTTGTCTTTAACTTTATCAATAAAACAGCTGCAGCTTTCACTACAGCACATGTGGTACTTTAACCTTTGTACTGTTTTCATCAGTTCATTTTGCAGTTAACATGTGAACATGTTGGATGATCTGTCTGCTGTCACTGGGTGGTGCTGAGGTCTGAATCTGAGGGCAGCTCCTGTAATCACAAAGAAACAGAACCATCAAACTCAAATATAAATTTTATCCCTCAAAATTGAAATAAAGCTGATTCTTCTGTCCTCACACACTCAGGATCTGAAGTTTTCTCTTACATTTTTTTCAGTATTACAGTACACTACAGTACTTTAATCCATAGTTCCTGATTAATGAAGGAGCTACAAGGTACAAGCTTTTTTTTTTTAGTTATTGTCTTTACAGATGTGGCAAGAGACTGAAAACATGCTGTTGTTTGCACATATTTAATAATCAGCTCTGCACAGGAGCTGAAGCAGGATGCAGCCTGTTGCTTTTACAGTATAATACTTGTAATAAAAGTACAGTAACAGTAATTAGTGACTGAGTAGCCCGGAGCGTTTCTCTTGATTTCTTTAGTCGGTGTAAATTCATTCACCTGCACAGATTAGCTAAACGAACCCTGACAGCCGAGTCCTCATCTTAGCTAGCTAGGTCTCAGGACCGAGCTAAGGACGGTAGTTACGGATTAGCTTACAAACACGTTTAACTTACCGAAAAAGTGCAGCAGGGCCTCGGGTCCTTCTGTCGGGTAGTCCAGTTTACTGAAGAACACCTCAGGCTGTCAGGTTAAAACACTCGGTCGTGTTTTCGTAGCGTAAACGCTGGCCCTCCTCTCAGAGCCTACGCTCTATCTGCTATTCCCGAACAGAGATACGCAAGTTTCTCCGTGACTGCAGCTGCCAGTCAAAGCTGTTATGATGACGTTTCACCCCAATTTAACATCACCGCGGTAGGAATTAGAATCAAACTTATGGGAGAGGAGACCCCTTGAACATCAATAACGTGATGAGAACTATTGATAACAAAAGAAAGAATCTTTGGAAAAAAATTATCTGAGGAGAATAAATTTATTTTAGTCTGACCCCAGTCCCATCCGCTAACGTGGGGGAGGCGGGGTTTATGACGTATATACTGCAGCCAGACACCAGGGGGCGATAGAGACGTTTTGGCTTCATTTTTGGGGAGCTGTCATGTCGTCCATCTTTTATACAGTCATTGGGTGGGACATGACAACACCGCCACCTGCAGGAAGATTTTCTCTCTGTATGGTACCTTGTGTTCTGATACCTGACAACTTTTTTTCTTGAGAACTGAGACCTGACAATTTTTTGTCTGATACCTGACAACTTTTTTTCTTGAGAACTGAGACCTGACAATTTTTTGTTCTGATACCTGACAACTTTTTTCTTGAGAACTGAGACCTGACAATTTTTTGTCTGATACCTGACAACTTTTTTTTCTTGAGAAATGAGACCTGCATTTTTTGTCTGATACCTGACAATTTTTTTTGAGAACTGAGACCTGACAATTTTTTGTCTGATACCTGACAACTTTTTTTGTAAACTGAGACCTGACAATTTTTTGTCTGACCTACATTTTCAAGAACTGACAATTTGTCGAACTGAAACTTTTTTTTGAGAACTGAGACCTGACAATTTTTTGTCTGATACCTGACAACTTTTTTTGAGAACTGAGACCTGACAATTTTTTGTCTGATACCTGACAACTTTTTTCTTTGAGAACTGAGACCTGACATTTTTTGTCTGATACCTGACAACTTTTTTCTTGAGAACTGAGACCTGACAATTTTTTGTCTGATACCTGACAACTTTTTTCTTTGAGAACTGAGACCTGACAATTTTTTGTCTGATACCTGACAACTTTTTTACTGCATTCTGAAGAGTGACCTGACAATTTTTTGTCTGATACCTGACAATTTTTTTTTGAGAACTGAGACCTGACAATTTTTTGTCTGATACCTGACAACTTTTTTTTTTGAGAACTGAGACCTGACAATTTTTTTGTCTGATACCTGACAACTTTTTTTTTGAGAACTGAGACCTGACAATTTTTTTGTCTGATACCTGACAACTTTTTTTTTGAGAACTGAGACCTGACAATTTTTTGTCTGATACCTGACAACTTTTTTTTTGAGAACTGAGACCTGACAATTTTTTGTCTGATACCTGACAAATTTTTTTTCTTGAGACCTGACAATGTCCTAAAATGTACACCGTACACCATTCTCAATTTGCAGGTTCGCGGTTAGGCCACCTTGGTATCCCACCCAACCTCATCAGGTCCAGCCCCCCCAGACTGCCAGGCCCCATCAACCCAGCCAATGTCCTTTCTGAAAATGCTCAACTCTGAGTAACTTAAATAATAAATTTCAAACAGTTATATCTAAGAATATTTTTGAGTTTACTAGTTCCTGCTGTAAACACAGTCCATTGAAATTACAGCTTCATTCAAATGTTTTAAATGTTCCAACAGTTAATTCAAATTGTACATTAGAATTTTCTTGGTGACACCTATTTACTATGTATTTTGTAATACCTCAACAAACACATTTTTGCAATTTCCCAGAGGTAGATTTATTGTTTGTCAGTATTTACAAAGGGATTTTTTTTATTTAGTAAATTTTGGAAAGTAAACAAGGCAAGTTAAACAAAAAAACAAACAAAAAACAACCCTTCTGTCTTCCTACACCATGTCTTCTTGCCATGAAACACTCCCTGCAGGTGAGACAAAGTACTCGCAAAGGACATCTCGTTGTTTCTTTGCTTCCACTGAGGGGTTCCGTGCAAGGCCCATTGAAACTGACTGAAGCTCTCCCTCCCTTCTCCATGCACCTTCGACCAGCTGGTGGTTGGCATCCTCAGAATCCACATAGCCAGGTGGTACATAGGCGTCAGATCTGTGGTCCCGGAGATAGTTGTGCAGACAAAGACACGCAAAGATAATGGTGACAACCTTGTCTGGGTCCAGGCAAATTGTTGTTCTGAACACTCTGAAGCGATTCGCCAAAATTCCGAAAGCGTTCTCCACAACGCGACGTGCTCTGGACAGACGGTAGTTGTATATTCTCTGATCGGTGTTAAGGTTTCGAAATGGATATGGTTTCATGAGATCTGGTCGGAGGGGATAAGCATCATCTCCAATTAGCATGTGTGGCATCATAGCATCAGTGCCTGGCAGGGTATCAGCAGGGGGAAAGTTCAGTGTGCCTGTGTCCATTGCTTCTTTCAGGTCTGAATGGGCAAACACTCCTGCATCAGAGACCCTACCTTGTGTCCCTGCGCTTGCATACACAAACTTGTAATTGGCATCAACAACAGCCATAAGAATGATGGAAAACCTGGACTTGTAGTTAAAATACATGCTGCCACTCTTGGGAGGGGGTTGGATGAAGATGTGTTTACCATCTATAGCTCCCAGGCAGTGTGGAAATTGCCACTTGTTTGCAAAGTCTCTGGCAATGGCCTTCCACTCAGACTCGGTTGATGGTGTCTGTGAAAGACAAGTAGAAAGTGATACAGCAAAAGAATCTCTGGTGAATTCATGATTTCCTTTCTTAACCATACATTCAAGTCACTGTCACACTATGAGTTCACTTTACTTTTTTATATACACATGTAACAAAGACTGAACAAATACATTTGTGACTCAGAATTGTTTTTGGTGAAAACTTGCTGTATTAACTGATGGGACGTTTTTGACAATGTGCAAGTCAATCTTTCAATAGTGTGAGCATGGGTAATGTATTTTCTGTCAAAATTACCTTCAAGTAATCTTCATGCAGTGCACAGGTAAGAGCTGTGCATGTTTCCATGACAATCCTGCTCAGTGTGGTGCTTCCAATCCTATACTGGAAACTTAATGAGTTGAAGGTTTCACCTGTCAAATAGAACAAAGTGTCTTAAATAATGTCAGGTGGATAGTGGACATGGATGCAGCTTCGTAGAGTGACAGATTTTAGGTGACAGATGTAGAATATATGCAGTAGTAGCAGCTTATGTAGTATGAACGTATTCCTAGTGTGTAGGTGGATAGATGGACTTGCAGTTACAGGGCCAGTATAACTGGTGTAGAAGAGCAAAAATATGTATGTACTTGCATGGGTGAACTGATTTCTTAATGTGATATAGATAGATGACCTTGCTTCATGCCCAGCATTCTATAGTTTAAGGGAGTTTATAGTGAGCATTACAGAATTTTCATGTCCACACACTTGCCTGTTGCCAAAAATCGTAGGGTAACTGAAAGCCTTTCCCTGGGGCTGATGGCCTTCCTGAGGTGTGTATCCTTCTTGATGATAGCAGGACTAACCCTCTCCAGTAGATAGTTAAAGTCCTCTACAGACATTCTGAGAAGGTCCCGAAAACCCCTCATATCATCTACCTGTTTACACAGAACAAAGTCAAAGTCAAGAACACACACAATAACAAAGCGACATAATAGTGGTTGAATGTTATTGATAATTAAAGAGTCGGACTGATATTTAACCAATGTTGTATAAAGCAGAAAGATGTCCCAAAAATCACTTTGGTAGATGTTCAAGTCATTCACTAGAATGCTACTCAAGTAAAATGTAAAAGTACTGTAGTTAATGGCCAGTAATCCAATTAAATAAAATACTAATAGGCTAAAATTAAATGTTGCCTACTGAAAGTAGAAGCGTCAGATGTCTTAAACATTTACCCATCATCATGCAGATAAAGTCCTGTAGGTAAGTGCAATTTAGCTGTTGCTGCTTACCTCCAGTTCTCGTTGTAGAATTGACAGACCGTACTGCCCACGTTTTCCTAGCCATTTCCTTGTCCATACACGCAGTCGCTTTTTATTTTTAGATCTTTCTGCACACAGAATGGCACACATTGCTAAGGCAGCGCGTTTCTCTTTGGTGAGCATTTTCAAATTTCCCGGATTACAGTCTCCCCAGTTCCGGATTCTTCTTCTTCTTATTGTTTATTGGCGGTTGACTTCCGGGTTCTTCTTCCGGAAACAACAACACAGACGTGTTGTGCATGTACGCACAGTGTGAGCACTCAGGTCGCATCAGAGCATCGGGCCGTATAGTGTGAGACCCTGCATCGTGACCTATGAACTTCTAACCCCTGCGAGTCAATCGTACAGTTTGAGCAGGAGCTGAATCGCGCGACTGAAAAAATCGCACAGTGTGAGCCTGGCATTACAGATTGTTGAGAATAAAGCCACTTCAACACAGTTTTCAAAGGTTTAGTCCAATCTGCGATCAACATGATTGACAAATATTAGTGTTCTCTAGTGTTCAAGAACAATTAGCATTGCCGTACTTTAAAATATTGTCTGTGCTTGTCATTATTTTAATTGGTTATTGAGCCGGTATTGTCACGTCATAATGAGCCAAAGGATTCTGACTACACACCAAAAACATCAACAACTTTAGTTATCAAGTGCTCTGCCTGATTTGGTGAGTACAGAAGCTACACCAGTGTCTGTACTATTACTGCTCACCGTGTACACCTCAGTACATCTCTGGGTCACACCTTGAAAAATACTCTGACTATTCTGTTTTAGTGTACGTCGTGTGAGTTCATGCATTTATTTCTGCACTCTCTGCAAAGCATTTGTTTTCTCCTCTACTGATTTTCTTATATTTTCAGTGAATAAACAAATGACTTTCTATGCAAAAACCCTCAAAATAATCTAACACCGTCCCCATTATCACTACGTCGTAGCAGATAAGCTCCTGGCCACAGAGAGAGATCCACTGTCAGCTAAATATGTATATTTTAATAAAACAAAGCACAGAAACACTTGATTATCATTAATGTGATAATATAGATGTATACAAAAGCCTGTGTTGTGCAATGACTATTCAGTACTCAGAAATGTATCTAAAAATGTTTCTTATCCTGATATTTTAATGCAGACGTCACTTTATGGTAAAAAATATAGTTATAGATACAAAAAAGACTTGTGCTGGTGTAAGTGCACTGCTCAGAAATGGATCAAAAAACAACAACACACAGTGAAATCCACTGACCAGGCCTCCAAATTCCCCAGATGCTAGTTAAGCATCTATGGGATGTGCCCGAGATCTGCCAACATGCACGTAACAGACTGAATTTTGGGTTTAATGAGTGGTGATACGGTCCTTTGCTGCTGTAAATGAAAGTGCTATTAAATAGGGATGCGAATGCCTAAATTAAGGAAAACATCCTCGAACTACAGCTGAGGTTTAATGAAAGCAGTGTTTTTCTTAGAAAAATGTCCTTAATGATGTTTTCCAATGTTGTCTTGCCACTAAACGAAGAACCTCTGAAAATACTATTTCCTGCTACAGGTAGCAGCAAATATCCTCACATGTTTTAGAGGAGTTTTTAGGAACAAACAACTGGACATGTGGGTCGTGCCGTAAGCAAAAATGGAACTGACTTGTCAAATTTTGATTTTGGGAAGAAAATGATTTACTGGCCACTCCAAACAAAAAACAGCGAATGTTTGGTGAAGTGCGATGGTGTAGTGGGAGAACAGAAACAGGAAAGTGTAGTCTTGACTTCTGCCCATCATGATTGATTCTGTTCCAAAGCCTGCAGGCATATCATCAGTTGCATAAACAGGAGTGTGTGTACAGTCTGTGTGTCTTCTGAGCCATATTCAGCAGCACAGAGTATTTGGAAGGGAAATGTTCCTAATTTCATATGCTTCACATACACATTTTAGCTTAACATACACATTAAATGTGTAAATGAGTGCACCATTTTGCACCCCCCCCCCCCTGCATATATACATTACATTTATTCTACTCAAATACTGAACATATCCAACAGTATCAATGAAGCTTGATGGATGAGGTTACATGGGTGTGTGGAAGGGGAGTGTGGTCGGGGGGCAGCTAGAGAAAGGGGATTTGCAGTGGACGCATCAAGCTGCAACAAGCCAAAGAAAAAGAGAGGAAAGGTCACCCCATCCTTTTAAATTACACTTTGCCTAGTGGGTAGTGCTCACGTTCTGTGACTATAGTGCAGCCGAGTGGGCAGAAGGGTCACATTTGGGTTGGAGAGTGTTCATTCTCTCGTTTCTCCCTGTCCTTCTGTCCTTTTCTCTTTGTTGTGAAATACATCCATCATCTGATGTGATTACAATGGAGTAATATATTGATAATACCTCACATCGCATTGTAAAGCGCTTTGGGTGCCTTGAAAAGCGCTATATAAATCCAATCCATTATTATTATTATTATTATCTCAGGTCTATATTCACATTTAATGATATATTAGTCACATGTATGCTAATCCATCCATCCATCGATTTTCTTCCTCATATCCGGGGCTACGACCTGAGAGCAGCAGCCTCAGCAGAGAAGTATAACAACGACCCACACAAGGCTGGTCAGGCGCAATGTGTGTGTGTTAGGCCCTGACTCGATGCCCCACACCTGGATCCTGGAATTTGTGGACCTGTACAAGATCAACCGGACCTTAAGAGCCTTCATCAGGAACTCAATGGGAATGTGGCATACAACACTAGAAGCCAACTTCAAGTCCATAGCACAAGTCACCATCAAGTGCGTGATCTACCAAGGAGATGCTCTGTCCCCACTGTTGGCCGCTAGGAAAGCTGCAACCACCAAGTACCTGCAGAGGGTCAGGCAAGTCCTGAGGAGTCAGCTGAATGGTAAGAACAAGATCCGGGCTATGAACACCTACGCCCTGCCCATGATCAGGTACCCTGCTGGGATAAGCTGGCCAAAGGAGGAGATAGAAGCCACTGACATCAAGACCAGGAAGCTACTTACCATGCATGGAGGGTTTCACCCCAAGTCCAGCACAATGAGGCTGTACGCTAAGCAACAAAGGGACAAAGGGAAGAAGGGACTTGTGAGTGTCAGCACCGACCCAGGCACCAACCGACTGCATGCTCAATGAATACCTCAGGCAGCAAGAAAGAAGAGCAAGAGGAGGAACCATCATGGAAGGACAGGCCCCTGCAGGTATGTACCACCGGCAGATAGAGGAGGTGGCTGATATCCAGAAATCCTACCAGTGGCTGGACAAAGCTGGACTGAAAGACAGCACAGAGGCACTAATCATGGCAGCACAAGAACAAGCTCTGAGCACAAGATCCATAGAGGCTGGGGTCTATCACACCAGGCAAGACCCCAGGTGCAGGCTGTGTAAAGATGCCCCAGAGACAATCCAGCACATAACAGCAGGGTGCAAGATGCTAGCAGGCAAGGCATACATGGAACGCCATAACCAAGTGGCCGGCATAGTGTACAGGAACATCTGTGCCGAGTATAACCTGGAAGTCCAGAGGTCAAAATGGGAGATGCCCCCAAGGGTGGTGGAGAATGACCGAGCTAAGATCCTGTGGGACTTCCAGATACAGACGGACAAAATGGTGGTGGCTAACCAACCGGACATAGTGGTGGTAGACAAACAGAAGAAGACGGCCGTAGTGATCGATGTAGCAGTTCCGAATGACAGCAACATCAGGAAGAAGGAACACGAGAAGCTGGAGAAATACCAAGGGCTCAGAGAAGAGCTCGAGAGGATGTGGAGGGTGAAGGTAACGGTGGTCCCCGTGGTAATCGGAGCACTAGGTGCGGTGACTCCCAAGCTAGGCGAGTGGCTCCAGCAGATCCCGGGAACAACATCAATTTTCATGTCTGTTTTATTTGATTTAGTTTATGAGTAATACGTTTAATAGTATGAATTGAACTAAAATGTAAAAAGGCTACTGTACTAATAAACTCTGACTGACTGATAATTGAAGGGAGAGCATGTTGCAGGTGTTTGGGTGGTGCGGGGGATCAACTGAATGACTAAATCTGGAAAACATCCATCACTGCTGCTCCTGGACTGGGAATGGCAGACTCTAGAATGATCACTGTGAAAAAAGGTACAATACGCTGGCTGACACTTTAGCACTAGCTCAGAGTTTCAGCTCACAATTCTATATGAAATACTGATCA